TAGCTGTCGGTTCATTAATAATGGAACATAATTGACAAATGACTTACTATTAAGGGGGAAATCAGTCACTCTGAACAATTCCCTGTTTTGTGATTTATTTATTCATTTATTTATTTTGACTGACACATTAAAAAGAATTGCTTCACAATTGCTTTTTCCAAACTGTCATTAATAGAGACTATATTTGAAATAAAATTTACATTAAACTGATCAACTTTTTGCGACCATTTTATTTGCAGTCTAGAGCCCTGAAAACTAACTGTATACTAAAATTTGTCTTTCCCAGCAACCGAAGCACAAAACTTTATATCTTCTAAGACACACGAGGGTCATGCTGGATTTTGTTCTTGTTCTCTTACATGTTCAACTTTCAGCCAGTGACAAATAAACCTTTACTCTAGTGCTTGTCGAGCTATTTCTGCCATTGTCTCTGTGCCATTCGTAATGCTATCCATGTATCAGTCAGGCCCCTGTGGAGGGGTGTGTGCCACTTTACAGCATGTTTTCTATGGGAAGCACAGGCCTGTGGCAGTGCTAATAGGATGTGCCTGCTCTAGACCCACAGAGGACCAGCAGCGCTGACCAGAGTCAGCAATGACTAGTGAGTCCAGCTCTGATGGACAGGAAATGCTTGGATCGACTCCAGACATTCTGTGGACTCCAAGCCAAGAAGCGTTCCCCTTTTAAAGGGACAGCTAGCACTTTCTCTGCGTACAGTGTGATGCCACCATTAGCACCGTGGCACACTGTGCCTTACCCGTTGTGTGCGAACACTTAGAGACATGTCTTGATTTTGTGGAACAGTCTTTGGTTGCCCCTCGGGGATGTATAAACTACTAGCCTCTCACCTTTTATCAGGGTTGCCATAGCTCTGTCCCAGAGGGGCTATTTCTTACACTGTCCACCTCTTATCTACCCAAACCACCTGCAGACTGTAATTCTTTACTTTTTCCTCTTCCGTGGTCTGTGGCATTTGCCCTTAAGCGCTAGTGGGAGTGATAGTAACTAAAATGAACTTTACGCTGACTGATCTGCTCAACTAATCTTGTTCTCAGCATTATGAGCACTTCATAAATCAAACAACTTGATTTGTAGCGACTGTCACTTTGTTTGCTTGACTGAAATAACTAATGTACAAAAATCTAATTAAAGAGTTCAAGTTTAGTGGTCCCACAGCTTTGGGACTTTCCAGCTGTCAGATGTGGCGTCACTTACAAATACCTAGCTTCCTGTAAACGTGTTTTTAACTAAAGTGAGAGCTGTGATTTGCTAGCCTAACTTCTCCAAAGCCTGTTGAATATTTGTATCAGAGCCTCCGGTTTCAGCCACTAGAGGCCTCTGTGTCCTTAGAACATTTGCTGCTTCTGCACAACAGCCGTTCTTACATAATTTGGGTCAATTAATATACATGTAAATAGCTACATGTACTTTGTCTGAGACATTTTATAACACTGTCTTAATGTTAGACAACCAGGTAGACACAAATAAGCAAACCTAATGACTGACTGACAAGATTTACCGTGGACAGGGGCTGCATGGCCTTTTTTTCTTTTTAAGTTCTGACTCCGTTTGTGTTCTGTCTGAGATACAGACTACAGATACAACTTAGTAGATCCTCTCTTAAGAGTAAGTGTGTTAGTCTTGTTGTATAATTTTATTTTAGACTCTTGAGACCAGGCAAAACATTTTAGGAAAAAAATCGTATTTTTTCATGTCATTACATTGTTTGGAGCATTAAAAATTAAAAAAAAAAATTATAATAATTAGAAAATTATATTTCATTCATAAGGTATGCTACGTCCTTGGTAGAGGACATCGGGACTCATTTAAAAAAAAAAAAAAGACATGAATGAACATGCATAGGCAAAAACAATAGATTTTTTTTTTTTTAAATCACCAATACATTTTCAGGATTTTTTTTTACCAAACTTTGTATAAAGATAATTCTCAACTATGTTATAACAGAATGATTTGATATACCATTTTTCTGTATATACAAAATGTGTGTAAAATGGCCATAAACAGGTTTTCTCATTATATATAATGTATCTATAAACTAAATCTAATTTGCATATTAATGTATTTTTGGGGCAACATGTAATGAAAAAAGAAGTGTAATAATGGGAGTAATAATTGACAAGATTTTCATAATAATATATAATATTTCATAGGAATATTGAAATATAATTCGAAACAGAAAGTCATATTTTGATTTGAAACCCCACAACATTTTCCTGAGATGTTGATTTATGACACACAGTTTAAAAATGTGTCAGATTTAAATGATAATTACAAAATATTATCATATTTCCATAAGAGTGTCACTAAATTAATATCAGACATTTTTGAAGACCAAGGAGAGGGAGTGGTCATGGTGAAACATCAAAACATTTAGTATCTCTGAAAAGCCCTGAATGTGGCATGTATAGTCTCAGAGAAATTCACTAAAATATAATGTCCTCATATGAGGATGCAGGGTCTCAGGAGGTTAATGTGCAACCCTTGTTCAAACCAAATGTCTTGCATGATGATCAAATGATCTGCAGAACGTGCAACACCACTGAACTGATCACTGATCAGATTGTGCGGCACTTAGAACTAAATTGACAATGTCATAAATTTGAATCGAGCTAAAAATCTAATCAAATCAAAGTCTTGAAGTTTAAAGGTACAGTATATGCATATTTGTTTACTGGATCTACAGTAGTAGCTATAAAAAAAGTAGTTGATATGGTGATTATATCCCCACCTCCACTCCACATTACATGTTTAAGTCATGTATACACTTCATGTAATTCAACAATCTGTACTGTACTTGTGTACAATTCAACTTCAGACAGAAATGAAAGGGATTCAATTCATAAATTCTGAAGCCGAGTAAATTTCTGCCAAAGCAAACATTTCATTTCCTCTGTAGTAACTGTGAACATGAATAAACTAATAATTAAACACACACACACACAAACAACAACAACAACACTGTGAAATATAAGAAGATTAAAAGTTTTATATATTAATATAGTTTAAATGTAATTTATTCCTGTGATGGCAAAGCTGAATTTTCAGCATCATTACTCCAGTCTTCAGTGTCACATGATCCTTCAGAAATCATTCTAATATGCTGATTTGCTACTGAAGAAATATTATTTTAAAATAAAAATAATAAACATTTTTCAGGATTCTTTCATGAACAGAAATCTTTTGTAACACTATAAATATCTTTACTGACACTTTTTCTCAATTTAATGCACCCTTGCTGAATAATAGTATTAATTTCTAAATAAAATCTTACTGACCCCAAACATTTTCCAGAAGAGACTCACCTTGTGGCCTTCCAGTGTGTAGAGCTTCCTGATGAGACACTGCATGAGTTCAGAGACCTCGTCCATGAAGAGCGCCAGACTGCGCAGGCTCCTGCGGTGCAGCACGATGGTCTTCCGGACAGAGGGGTCACTGTTTTTCACAAGTACAATCTTCCTGGAGTGCCTGTGATGATGGTGATGGTGGTGGTGGTGATCTTCAACCTGCCCAGGAGCTTCCTCAGGTTGAGTGGGCCTCCTGACTGTATACTGCTGAGAGTGTGGATGTGTCTGGAAATGATACCATGGGTTCGAGTAAGCTCCTGTGGCCTCTGAAGCCATCGCCTTGGCTTGCTGGTGATCGGCACAGAGATAGCATCCATGATCCTCCAGCGACTCCAGTCTAGTCGAGCCAGATGAGCCTCTGAAGGACGCTGAGGAGCAGTGTCCATGGGGGAAAGGGGTCTTGAGAGATGGGTCGTCCGTGATGGTGTCAAAGCATTGAAAGCTTTGCTTGTGAGAGGCCATTTTAACTTCATCCAACGGCCTGTGGTAGATGTCAGTTGACTATAGGTTTAATCAGATGATAAAGGGACCACAGGAGAACATAGCAGGGCTATACTCTCTGGCCTAGCAGATCACACTCATTCATCCTCTCCTTCCACTCTGTAAAAGAAAAAAGCATAAAACACATGCCCAGGTTAATATCACTAACAATGCATTAAGTAATTCTGCGTCAAGCCCACGCTATACTCTCTGGCCTAGCAGATCACACTCATTCATCCTCTCCTTCCACTCTGTAAAAGACAAAAGCATAAAACACATGCCCAGGTTAATATCACTAACAATGCATTAAGTAATTCTGCGTCAAGCCCATTAGGTTGTCAAGCCCAGGGAACATTAGAACAATGATGCAAATTGGACAGAAATGCAACTGAAATGGTTAAGGCCCATGAAACAAATGTGCAAGTATGAACTATGTAAGAATGTGGGCTGTATCTGGAATTTAAAATGCAATTTAAACCTGGAACAAACAAGTTTTTCAGATTCAAGAATAAAGTAAAAGTAAACAAAAATGTTATGATGTAAACTGAATAAGAAACTTTAGATTCTGCACTATTTCTAGGTGATTTCATTAATAACTATGTTCTCACTTCCACTGGTGCTCTTTGGATAACATGATCATCATGTTTAACACAAGTGCTAGTGCTTATGTCTTACAAGTAAATACTTAAGAAATTATGGAATTTATGTTGATTTCATTCAGCTATATTACTCTCGTTTTTAGAATAAAAGTATATAATAAAATATCTAAAACAATATAGAAAAGAAAAATATTTACATAAAAATTCTTTATAAAATTGCAAAATTCAAACATTTTTACTACAAATCTGAGACTTGGACCCCATTTTATCAGAATCAGAATCAGAAAGGGCTTTATTGCCAAGTATGTTTGCACATACAAGGAATTTGTTAGGTTCCAGTACACGGAGACAACAACACAGATAATAAAAATAAGATGTGAATAAAATACACATGCATAAATATAAAGCACAAAAAAAAGAATAAATTGTATGTACAGGTGTGCTATATTTGTCCGGGAGAGCAGAAGAAGTTCGTCCGTTTTGTTGGGTAGACAGCGGAGATTCGCTAGATGGATGCTAGGCAGCGCTGTTCTGAATCCGCGCTTCCTGAGCTTCACGAGTGCGCCGGCTCGCTTCCCCCGTCTGCGCGTCCTGAAGCGCTTGATCAGCGCTGCTGCTCCGCCAACTACAACGTTCAGCAAAACGTCAAAATAAACTAAATCCGGTAGAAGATTGTGTGGTGTGTACTGCCGAATGTTCAGCAGCTCATCCCTGGTAAAACTGATCGTGTTTGAGAAACAAAAAACAGGAAAAACTAACAAAAACAGTACAAACACTGGAGAGCCAAACACAGCTGTCTGCGGCGCCATCGCATAGCATAACATTATTCTTACATTTTTATGCACACTTGCAAATTGTGCATGTTGCATACTTTCTCATATATGTTATATCAAACCAACATAAGAGCATTGATAATAAGAAGTCATTTTTACCTCTTTTAAAAGAATATTTATTGTGTAAAGACAATCCTGATAAACATGGGCATAAACTAATAAGCTTAAACAAGAGGATAAACTCACAAGCATAAAAAAGACTGAATGCTTTTAACTCGATCCTGTTCTTAATGGGATTTAAAATTCTCTGCTAAGTGATCCAAACACAATATTGGAACATTTGCACTGTCATGAAATGAAGAGTTTTTGGGTTAATAATTGATACTTTATATTTTAATTTTAATTTTTTTGTACCTGAACCCACTTTTATCCCACTTTTCCTACCAGAATCTCATTAAAGTCTTTTCTCAATCACTTCCATGCACAATCAAGCTTCTTTACATAAGTACCTTTAGAACTGAAAAGGGCACAGAGTCTAAGTGCTTTATGCCCATTGCAACTATTAAAACTCAAGTATCTGTAGCGTTGACGTCAAACCAAAGCTAAAACAAAAACAGCAAAAAAATCCAGATTTAACACGTGACCTTAAACAGGTACATCTGCAGGAATCCCACTGGCACATCATGACAGTACATTTGTGCCTGGCACACGCTACAGCTGAGGGAGCATTACTGAGCTCAAGACACAGAAATGATGGACAGATATCAGAGACTAAGCAGGGATAAAAAGAGCAGACTTCGCCTAAATTAGACTAAAGAGCTTATCTACAAGTGCAGGGAGAAAGTGGAAGCAACATGTGACAGGATGAAGCTGCAGTGGAAGCCTATTGTTATTTTTGATTGAAGTACAAATGTGAAAATTAAATATTACCAAGTAATGTGATTTAAGAAAGCAAAGTTATGAAAGTCAGAAACAGAAAGACTTGATTTGTTCAAAGAAAGGGTAGAACTCTAAATCAGTGAAATCTAACACAAAACCATTAATATATATTTTGATATTCTTATATTCTGATCCACATATACATTTTTTTTAAACAAACTGAAAAAAAGACCATGATCTCTTAAAAAATCAAATCCTCAGTTCCAGCTCTCTTTTTCTACTCGAGCTATCAGAACAAAAACAGGGAAATGACACAGCCTGAGAAGTTTATTGCATAACAGGGCCAACTCGGACTCAAGTCTTGCAAAGCACATAATAATGCCTAATATACACTACCGTTAAAACTATTTGGGGTCAGTACGATTTCTGTAAAGAATTCAGTACTTATATTCAGCAAGGATGCATGAAGTTGATCAAAAAGGACAGCAAAATATTTCTATTTCAAATAAATGTTTTTCTTTTGAACTTTGTTCATCAAAGAAACCTGACAAAAAAATTACAGTTTCCACAAAAATATTAACTGTTAATTAAACTGTTTTCAACATTGATAATGAGAAGAGTTTCTTGAGCAGCCAATCAGTATTTTAGAATCATGAAAGATCGTGTGACACTGAAAACTGGAATAATGGCAGATGAAAATTCAGCTTTGCCATTACAGGGATGAATTACATTTGGGAATTAGAATAAATGCAGCCTCGGTGAACATAAGAGTCTATTAAAATATATATACAAGAAAATCAACATTCAATGGTAGTTGAATCAATATAGAGCCCCGTCTCCACCGCAGAAACTTTACACAGAAACTAGGGACTTTGGGCCGGTACTCGGTGTGTTTCCACCACAGGAACCAGGATCTAAATAAAGTTCCGGGTAAAAAACTGCCCCTCAGAAAGTCCCTGCTCGTGAGGTAGTACTTTTTCAAAGGAACTTTCGGGGGCGGGACTTGGGCGCTAAACATGCTGATTGGTTGACTTCACCATGCAGCATTGTATTTCAACCACCATTTATTTGGATAATTTTCAAAATATTACTGTTATTGTGTCATGAATTGTAGTTTTAAAAGTATTTCAGGCGAGAATGTAGTTGTTTAAAACTCAAATCTGCGGGGTTATTTATAAAGACAGTGCTGATTTAAAAATGTGCTTCGTCCAATTTCAGAGACGTGAGCTCCACGCGATCAGCGGGCGCTCAGTTCTCATGTTTCCCGACGAGAGCAGCCTCAACTCGGCTAGTCCTTCTGACATTTGCTGCTGGCTCTGATGTCTCTTTAGTGGTTAAACATAAGATATAATTTGTTTTGGGTAAATCTAACAGGTAATCTTTGGTCTTTATTCTATTAATCTGTTAATATGTTAAAATTAAAATAAAAAGAGGCAATAGCCTGTTTGATATAATATTTAGTTTCATTGTAATGTAGGCTATATAACATTCCCTGAACTACATTTCTGCGGCTATTAATACGTTTAAATGAAAACGAAAGGAGGCAGTGGTGTTTGATATCATATTTCGTCTTATTGTAAATACAGTGAGGAAAATTGGAGTAGCCAATGCGAGCTTACGGACGTTATCAAGTACGCTGCTGTTTGCAGAATTACCGGACTTGCGTCGTCCCGTCCGTGGGAGTTCACTCGAACTCGCAAAGTCTGAACTACCGAGGATGCAAGTCCAAAATTTGCGTAGCCTACTTGGTATTGAGAAACGCGCGCAGACCTACGTCACCAGACTATTTGCCTATTCTTCGCGGTACTTTAGACCGCAATGGAAACGCAAACAGCAACAGGTCTGGGGGGGAAAAGTTCCTAGGACAAATTGTTCCAGGTAATTTCGGTGGAAAAGTGGCTTAGGTTATCAAAAACTAGGACACAATGGGAAAAAAGTACATATGTGCAAAAATGATATAGTGAACAAAATGTCCTATAGGATCATAATGTCATAATTCCAGGATAGCAATAAATTACTTTAAGAAGTTACATTTGAAGTATCATTGACGTAATTCAGTGTCACTGATGTAATTCAGATTACAAAATGTGGAACTAGGAAAGCTGAATCTGGCAATCTGCATCCTTCTTTCTGAAAAAAAAAAGATGTTCTAATAAATTATCCAGAGGCCTGTTCCAATATCTGCTTTTGATGAGAACATTTGAAGAAAACAGAATGTAAACAAATAATATAAATCATATGATATCAATTATGTTACCTAAAACAAGTAAATTCTTGTGATACAGAGGATCTGTAAGCTCAAAACAGCATATGAAAAAGATGTTAAACAAGCCTGAGCTAAGGACGTTTTAAACATCATGAATATCCACAGAACTTTGTAAATGCAGGCAGAAGTTTTCAGCTCTGACTGGCACAATACTTTCAATGCATCCCAGATAACTGCAATGATGTTTCTCATTATACTCCAGTATTATTGCATGCACCTGTGTTGATATCCTTGTAGTCACATAATTCAGATCTACTGAATACCAAGACCATCAAAAACACCAACTGAAGCTCAAAAACTGGAGATAATTGTAACTTTTACCATAGAAATATTCTAAACCAATGAGGTTGAGCCAAGGTCAAGGTAATGACTCTGAAAGCACCCTTGATGGTTTCAACTAACTGCAATCTAAAAGAACCAGGACATTCTCCAATGTAAACTCAAACTGTCCTTTACAAAGGACTGCTAAATACTCACCATGATAAGAACCATGATCTCAATGTTGAGAAAACCAAGAGCTCAGAAAAGCATCTTCTGAGTTTCCACACAATGAGAGTTGAGAAGGAGCAGAAGCTGCTATGAACTGCCAGCTGAAAAGCACTTGTCCCACTGGGGGCCTACCTGCTAATCGGTCCTTGGGAAGCTAAGGATAGAACGAAAAGCCTTCTTAATCACTCTGAGACTGCATCAGAATCTGCTGAGCCTTTGGACACATGACTAGAACTTGGCCATTACATAAAAGAGCAGACAAACTTAGCACATTGTCAGTGAAAGACCCTCGAGGACACTTATAGTTTATAGCATATGGTTACACAGAACAAATAAATAACGCTTAAGCAGCCTCAGTATGTGATGGATAAACATTCAGCTGAATGCTGGAGTCTTACCTAATCAAACTGTTCAGAAGACACAATGTAGTTAATCTATTTGATTGTTAATCAAACATATACAGTATATCAAAATTCTAACCAATATAAGCTGATAGTTTGCTGCTAAATGAATGGCATGCTCTTTTGTATAGTAGACAAATAAAAAACACTTAAAACTAGAATCAGTTTTTAATGCTACAAGTGATTGCGCTTAATAAGCATCATTATATTATAATGTACATTATAACAAATGGATATTCGCTTTGGGGTTTGCTGAAGATTACATTTAACAGTGTTATTAAATTATTGGTGTTTTTAAAGATTAACCACAAAAATTCTGTGGTCAGTATGATTTTTTTATGTTTTTTTTTTATTTTTTAAGTATCTTATGCTCACCAAGGTTCCCTTTATTTGATCAAAAGTACAGTTAAAATATTAATATTGTGAAATACAATATTATTACAGTTTAAAATAACTGTTTTCTTTTTCTATTTCAATATATTTTAAAATTTTATTTATTTTTGTGATGGCAAAGTTGAATTTTCAGCATCATTACTCCAGTTTTCAGTGTCACTGATCCTTCAGAAATCACTCTAATATGCTGATTTGATGCTTAAGTAACATTTCTTTTTATCATTGTTGAAAAGTTTATTAACTGCTTAATAGTTTTGTGGGAACTGTGATAAAATTTTTTCAGGATTCTTTGATGAATAGAGAGTTCAAAAGAACAGCATTTACTTGAAATAGATATTTCTGTAACATTATAAATGTCTTTACTGTTACTTTCAGCATAAAACTAATAAATTCTGTCAAAAACAAAAAATATCTTTCTGACCCCAGACTTTTGAATGGTAGTGTAAAGACTGCATATTGCTACTGGTACTGATAATAAGCTAGATTACCATGGATGGAGTGAAAAGTAATTATTTTGGTTACTAAATCCAAAATTTCTGTCTCTGTCAGTCAGTCGGACAGACATCTATAGTACCTTATCGCTAAGAACAGAGCTCAGGAGGGTATCTGGGATGATCCAGTTAACTTGATGGGTGGCCCAGATGGAAATGGATTAATGGCTCTTATTCAGCAGTAATTAGAACAATGCATATCACATTGCTGTCCTAAGGCCACGGTTCTGATCTGAACCAGCATTATTTTCATCAAGGCTCTGCCGGCAATGACAAATTCAATTGATCATCTACATAAAGCCAAGAATCTAATACATAAAATCTTTTGCACAGTGCCGACTCAAGCCCACTGGCACAAATCAGCTCTTTTGATTGCTCAATCAAGTCAATTTTTAGAACTTTTGTGACTCAACTTTTCTCTTAGAGTAAAAATACTTTAAAGTTTGCTTGTATATTATTCACATATATCCTGAACACAGGCTGTTAAGACTTCTGGGAATCAGCGCCAGCGGTAGGAAACAGCTTGTTGCTGAATAATGGCCACAAACAAAAAGCTAACTACTCAAGGCTAGTCACCTGCTAATGTCACTCTTATCAGAAACTGCAGCTTGTAAAGATATCCCAACCCCGGTTACAACATATTTTTTGGAAATTGCAAGGGTAGAGATGCTTATTCATCCGAGAGAGCGTCTTTCTACGAATGTACTAAGGGTGAACTTGCGGTCTTGCCATCTGTCTGTGTGTTATAAGAGGCTTGGCTGAGCGGATGGGTGAGTGGGGACATATTGTTTTTCTCCTGAGTCATGTGCCGTAAGACCCCTGTAGAGTTCACACCCCGGCCTCCTCCCTCTGGGTCTTTCCTGAGTTAAAGTACCTCCCTAAAGATGTGGAGCCAGAATGCAAATCGCTGCAAGATTTCCAAGAGAACATAACAGATTTCTGGACATAAAAGATGGCAACTAAGATAAACAAATAGTTGTTTTTTCGACAAAATATAAAGGTTGTTAAAAAGACGATCTTCTGAGCATGAATATATAAAGGTAGGATGCCGTAACTGAACCTAGAGGTTATAATAAATGATCATTACTCTTAGCAGGACTCCTTTTGTCTGGGCCACACGTGAGCTCTGACATCTCGGCTTAGCTGCTGCTTCCTGCATGTCAGGCCTAATTACTGCAGAACCTGCTTTGATACAAGCTGTAGCTATGTTTGACTATTTAGTCTTTAAGGCTACATCTATATAACATCAAGTAAAATGTTATTCTTGAAAGACAAAATTAAACTCTTAAAGCAAACACAGGTTATCATATGGCTTCAGTAAATGTAGAGCATTCAAGTCAAACAGACTACGTTTATAATGCATTACTTGTTTTTGCATATTTTTGAATCTCTAGTCAACCTTGAAGTATTGATACTTCATCGAAAGGAGCATCCATCCGGCACAGGCTTCAAAATGTTCTGTTTTGTTCAGCAAAGAAGAAAAAACTTACAGAAACATACAGACATGAATGTAAGCAAAGAGAATTTTCATTTTTGAGCAAATTAATCTTTTCGGCCTATACAGAAAACGGCATTAAAGTTGGCATGAAATGAAAATGAATCTGTTTTTAAATGCATGGTATTGATCTTGTTTGAACAATTCTTTTTTTTTTTTTTTTGAACTCGTAATTTTTAATCAAAATGTTATTAACTAGATTTTTCGGTGAAACGACAGACTTCTCTCTGGTGACGTATGCACAACTTCTCCAATCATTTAATCCACTTAAACCCTGCTGCAAGCCCACATCTCAAATCCGATCAACAACCAATGCATAGAACCAAGTCCCTGCCTTCTTCAACAATCCGTTACACTCGGAAGTACATCACAATATGGAAGAAAAGATCTGATGCAATAATAGATGGGGTTTTAATGTAGGCTTGTTTATACAAGAAAACGAGAAAAAAAAGGGGTATGGCAAAGAGGAATGTGAGCATCACAAAAGAGGGCTTTGTGAGCATGAGACACTTTATCAAATGCTAATTTCACTATTTTTCCATAATCAACCTCTCTTGCATAAATAAGCAGCTGAATTAATTCTGACACATATGCAAGGTTGCATTCACACCTATTTGCGTAGGAGCATCTTTACCAGTACATGTATTAATATGCCACATGACTCTTTGGACTCCTTTACACCAACAAGGGGTCAAAGTTTTACTGGTTAGCATAGACCAGTGGTCGCCAACCCGTCGATCGCGATCGACTGGTAGGTCTTTATCACTGTCCCAGCTCCCGAAAAAAAAAAAGTAAAATAAGTACAAAAATGCATACATTTATGGGGTTATATTAATGTATCACTGAAGGGAACCGTCTTGAGAAAAGTTTCGATGGCAATGGCATTTTCTTCTCCTCCGTATAAAGCGCAACTCTGCTTTGTTTACAGCG